TTTTGAGAGAGAGAGAGAGAAATTGATCGTGTAAGTCCTTCAGGACCATTCCAAGGGCTTTCAACTATTTGAAAAATAAAAAACAAAAGCAATCCATTAGAAAATCTAAATGAGAAAAAAACACAAATATCAAAAAGGCATCTGACTGGTAACGATAACCCTATATGCAAAAAAAGAAAAAGAGACTCAGATGTATAGAACAGACTTGTGGACTCTGTGGGAGAAGGCGAGGGTGGGATGTTTCAAGAGAACAGCATTGAAACATGTATATCTAGGGTGAAACAGATCACCAGCCCAGGTTGGATGCATGAGACAAGTGCTCGGGCCTGGTGCACTGAGAAGACCCAGAGGGATAGGGCGGAGAGGGAGGTGGGAGGGGGGACCGGGATGGGGAATACATGTAAACCCATGGCTAATTCATTTCAATGTATGACAAAAACCACTGCAATGTTGTAAAGTAATTAGCCTCCAACTAATAAAAATAAATGGAAAAAAAAAAGGCATCTAACTATGTATAGAGAGAGTAACATGGAAATATACATTACCATATATAAAATAAGTAGCCAATGGGAATTTGCTGTGTGATTCAGGGACCTCAGACCAGGGCTCGGTAACAACCGAGAGGGGCGGGATGCAGAGGGAGGTGGGAGGGATGTTCCAGTGGGAGCAAACACGGGTGAACCTCTGACTGATTCATGCTGATGTTTGGCAGAAACCAACACAATACTATAAAGCAGTTAAGCTTAGGTTATAAATTTTAAAAAGGCATCTGACTATTGAGTAGAGAAGGGATGGAAGATACAGTATCATTTGGGAGCCTGCTACATTGCAATCAAATGATAGGATTGGATTCACATGGAGATAGAGAGAAATTATAATTTTTCATTTGGGGAACTAAAATCTATAGGATTTGGTGATGGGCTGTGAGTAAGTGAGGAAAGAAGTGTTTTAGAGATAATCTCAAGCTTCTGCATGAGCCATTTCATGATGCCATTTACTGAAATGCGAACCAGGTTGGGGATGGAGGTCAGGGTTTCATTTTGTCCAAATCGGTTTGAGATGCCCACAAAATTGCCAAATGGAGAATTTGAATGGGATAGAAAAGGTTGGAACTCTGGGGAGGGTCCAGGCTGCAGACTACATATAAATGACATTCAGAGCAATAATTCACTGAGTAGAGGAGGGAAGGGCATCCAAAACCAGTGCCAAGGAAGCACTTGAAGCACTTACATCTGTGTAAGAAAAATGACAATCTGAAAATGGGACTGAAAGCAGAAATAAGAAGTATTGAGAAATAGAGGATAGATCGAGTAGCAAGTTTATGAAGAAAGAGAAACTGTTGTTTACAGGAGATTGATGTTTCTGGTTTATTCTGCATTTCCCTGTAATAACATAGTTATGTCTCTTTAGTCCCAGGAATCCAAACCACAATGGCAGCCCAGTACCTCAGCGAACCCAGGACCAGCTATGGTAAGAGGCTGCTTGGGGAAGGCAGCCAGGCTTGGGGAGGAGGGCTGGGACTCTCCTGCCTTGTCATCCAGTCAATCTGTACAAGAGTAAAATGTCTTCAACCACATTTCTCATTTTCCTTTCATTTGCTCTGCTCTCTCGGTCTCTCTACCCTCTATGCATCCTCCTTGCAATGTAGCTTACCAGCGAGCAGGAGGAGAGTTCCGATACCCTGACTGCTCCCGGGCTTGATGAGGTTTCTTATTTGCTACTTCCTACCATGTGGGCTGGAAAAGGAAATGGCAACCCACTCCAGTACTCTTGCCTGGAAAATACCATGGATGGAGAAGCCTGGTAGGCTACAGTCCATAAGGTCGCAAAGAGTAAGACATGACTGAGCAACTTGACTTACCATGTGGGCACACCGGATCAGGGATTGTGGCCTCCCAGGTGGTTTCTCTGCCCCTATCTTCATCCCGAGAGGACTGGGAAGGAGGAATGTCAGGGTGCTCAATGCCTCATTCAGGCCCCTAATTTCCCTGCTCCCAGTGGCCTCACTCTAAGCAATAAACTCAACAGACTGATCACTCCGTTTCTCATATAACCCTCCCTCTACCCCTTTATCCTAGGAACTTAATTAGTTCCATCACTCAGTCATGTCTGACTCTTTGTGACCCCATGAATCACAGCATGCCAGGCCTCCCTGTCCATCTCCAACTCCTGGAGTCCACCCAAACTCGTGTCCATTGAGTCGGTGATGCCATCCAACCATCTCATCCTCTGTTGTCCCCTTCTCCTCCTGTCCCAGATGCCTTCCCAGCATCAGGGTCTTTTCTTTTTTTTTTTTTTCCATTTATTTTTATTAGTTGGAGGCTAATTACTTTACATCATTGCAGTGGTTTTTGTCATACATTGAAATGAATTAGCCATGGATTCAGGGTCTTTTCAAATGAGTCAACTCTTCGTATCAGGTGGCCAAAGTATTGGAGTTTCAGCTTCAGCATCAGTCCTTCCAATGAACACCCAGGACTGATCTCCTTTAGGAGGGACTGGTTGGATCTCCTTGGAGTCCAAGGGACTCTCAACAGTCTTCTCCAATACCACAGTTCAAAAGCATCAATTCTTTGGCACTCAGCTTTCTTTATAGTCCAACTCTCACATCCATACATGACTCCTGGAAAAACCATAGCCTTGGCTAGATGGACATTTGTTGGCAAATTAATGTCTTTGCTTTTTAATATGCTATCTAGGTTGGTCATAACTTTCCTTCCAAGGAGTAAGCATCTTTTAATTTCGTGGCTCTGATCACCATCTGCAGTGATTTTGGAGCCCCCAAAAATAAAGTCTGCCACTGTTTCCACTGTCTCACTGTCTATTTCCCATGAAGTGATGGGACCAGATAGATTCTATCATTTGAGCTTTTGCTGTTTAGCAAATCATTCCACAGTTTAGGAACCTAAAACAGCAACCATTTGCTTGGCTCTTAATTTTGAGGGTCACTTGGGCCATGCTTGGGTCTGAACCAGCCTGTCTAGTCTCAGCCAGACTGACTCATGTGCAGGTGCTTGGCTGGTGGTTCAGGATGTAACACAATAATCTTGACTAGCCTCACAGACATTTCTGGTGGTTAGCAAGCTCTGGGTTGGCCAGGCAGACAGGGTAACAGGGCCTTGTGTCCCTCATCAAGTCGGCTAGTCCAGGGCAGGTGTAGAGTTCCAGACATCAGAAAGAGAAGGCAAAGCACAATGTGTCAGCGCTTTCGGATTCTCTGCTTAACCATGTTTTCATGATCCTATGATCCAAAGCAAGTCACATGGCCCAGTCAGACTGAAGGGTTGGAGAAACAGACTCAGCATCCTGATGAGAGGAGCTGAGAATCCACCTTCCCAAGAGGCATGAGTGCAGAGATGGGCTCCTTCGTGGCTATGGCTGCCATCTTCAGAGGTTTCCATCCATTCGTTATCGGCATTGGCCAATGATTGCAGTGTTGGCACTGGCCTTGGTACCTTTTTACTGCCAGGCCATGATTTTCCTATACCCTCTCTCTAAGGGCAACCAATGCCCTGGGATCTCCTTAGGTTGGAGCTTCTATTGTGAGGATAACTATTAAGAATACTCTGAATTCTTATGTACATTTTTTCTTAGATAAATCTTAGCCATCCCATATCCAGTGTTTGCAGCATTGGGAAATTTACTTCTTTTATCCCGGGATTCTGGTTCTCAGATGGGGAAAACTCTGCCTTAGGGATTCAGGGATCAGCAAACACTTCATCAGAAAGTGTGTGGGAGATGGAGGTTAACTACAGATTTTGTGGACATCACAGGAGGGGTTTCTGTAAGTTCCTGGTTCTGTTTGATTGATATTTTTTCAAGATTAGCCCACCTCACAGAATAGACTGAAAGGGACAAATTGGAAGTGGAAACACCTGTTAGGAGACTGCTGAGGCAGGGGTGGTGATGGAATCTGGACTGGAATGATGATCTTCAAAACAGAGACAGGGGAACAGATTTGGAGCCAAGAGAACATGCTGATGGGTTGGGTCTAGAAAGTAGGGGAAAGAGGCGAGTCAAGGGTGACTCCTAGCTTTCTAGTCCGAGGACCTGGGTGAATGGTGATGGCTCTGAAAATAAACTGGAGTTGGTAACAGTGTCTATAATGTTGTATGTGGAATAATGTAGGCATTGTCTCAAAGCAGAAATGGGTAGATATAACATAGGATTCCTCATGCAGGAATCAGACCCTTAGGTTCAAGGGTCAGCCGGCAAGGTCTGCCTTCTCGGAAAAAGAGGGTTTCACATGTGATTGTCAGTTGCCTTCTCTCTGGCGCTGGGTCTATGGCTGACAAATCCAGAGGACTTTGACTTTATAGACACACTGCAGAGAGATGCAGAGACTTGCTGAATACAAGCACGCAAAGAGCCGGTAGAGGACTTGGTGCTTAAACTCAGGTTTCCACTGCTGCTCTCTGCAGCTCTGATACTAGCTTTCAGCTTTCCTGGGAAGTCAGATATGCATAGTCAGTTTTGTGTTACCTCCTGTCTTATGAAGAACAGCTACTGGTAGCAACTCAGAGTCCTCTTCTTAGTCACATTCCTTCCTCCTCTATGAGCTGTGTGCTTCCACCAGGTCAGAGTAAGAGCTGAAAGGGATCCTGAAAAATATCTGTTGTTATTGTTGTTCAGTTGCTAAGTCATGCCCATAGGTTGCAGCATGCCAGGTTCCTCTGTTCTCCACCCTTTCCTGGAGTTTGCTCAAATTCATGTCCATTGATTTGGCGATGCTGTCTAGCCATTTTATCCTCTGCCACCCCTTCTCCTTTTGCCTTCACCCTTTCCCAGCATCAGAATCTTTTCCAGTGAGTCTGCTCTTTGCATCAGGTGGCCAAAGTATTGGAGCTTCAGCTTCAGCATCAGTCCTTCCAATGAACATTCAGGGTTGAATATTTATTCAGTGGGCAGGAGACTTGCAGGGGAGACAGTTGAAGTTCATTCTAACACTGGGACTTTTGTTTCCTGATGTTCCAGGGCTTGCATACCCCGGAGATTCCCAGCTGAGACTTGTCTTAGTGGGTAAGACTGGGGCAGGAAAAAGTGCAACAGGAAACAGCATCCTCAGAGAGAAAGTGTTTCAGTCTATCCCTTCACCTGTATCCATCACCAAGCACTGTGAGAAAAGAAATGGCACCTGGAGGGGGAGAGAAGTTGTCGTCGTAGACACACCTGGCCTCTTTGACACAGACATCCCAGATGCTGAGACTGTCAAGGAAATTACCCGCTGCATGGTGCTGACCTCCCCGGGGCCTCACGCTCTGCTCCTGGTCATCCCACTGGGCCCTTACACGCTGGAAGACCAGAAAGCCACAGAGAAGATCCTGACGATGTTTGGAGAGAGAGCTAGGGAACACATGATACTCTTATTCACCCGGAAAGATGACTTAGGTGACATGGATTTCCATGATTACTTAAAGCATGCTCCTACAGCCATCCAAGATCTGATTCGCAAGTTCAGAGATCGCTACTGTGTTTTCAATAACAATGCCACAGGAGCTGAGCAGGAGAACCAGAGGGAGGAGCTGCTGGCCCTAGTCCAGGATGTGGTGGACAAGTGCAATGGGAGATACTACACGAATAGCCTGTATCAGAAGACCGAGGAGGAGATTCAGAAACAAATCCAAGTGTTTCTAGAAAATTACAGAGCAGAGATTGAGAAAGCAAAAGCTCAGATAAAACAGGAGTTCGAAGAGGAAATCAGAAAGCTGAAGGATGAACTAGAACAGCAAAAGCGGAAGGTGCAAATGGAAAGGCAATTGGCAGAAAGGGAGGCTCACTGGGTTTCAAGGCAGCAAACAGCCAGAGATGATGTTTTGAGTCAGAATGAGATACTTGAAACCATCTTTAACTTGTTACGGGTTGCTTCCTTTGTCTTCTCTCTGTTTAGGGATTAAACTTCATGAAAATCTGTCTATATTTCCTGCATATTTTCGGGTGCTCCTGCCCCATGTAAGTCAGAGCATTCTCCTTTTTCTCTGAGACTCTCGGGGCTGAGGAGAGTAATTTCACTATCGATAATTGATATGTGTTTGATTGATTTAACAGGAAAGGGATAAATTCTCAACTTGTGAAACTCCAAAGCAGAAAGCATTGATGCTCCCTAATTTGTGAATTCTTTCTCAGAGACACCAAGACAGGAAATGCAGGAGACCAAAGAAGATGACCCCGAGCTTTCTCTATTTACTCCTAGGAAAAATTTCTCCTCTAGATTCTTTCTAGATTGGTAGGTGATCTTCTCCTACAGCTTTTTCTCATTTATTTTGTCTTTAGACGGTGCTGATCATCTTACCCTTATAGTTTATTAGAAAGATCAGTTCTTTCCATTAGTTAAGCTTACAGAAGGAGATACTGATAGAAATCTTTCTAGATGAATGGAAATTTGTTCACTTATAATTTTACTGAAGGCCTCAAATTGTTCCTTATCAACTGACCATTATGAACAAGAGTTCTCTGGCAAATAAATCTTTCAGAACTCAACTACGTGAAATGCCAAAAGGAGCGAAAGATATTGAACAGATAAGAGAACAATGCTTGGTGTATTCAGATGTATTTGTAGGAAATCTTTGACCAACAACAACCAGTTTGCTGAAAGTCAGTTCTCTCCTTTTCCTAACAGCTGCCCCATGCAGCTTATTGTTTGCTTATTGTTATTTTAATAAAACGTTTCTGTTCTCTCATACTTGTGCAAATTGGAATCTGTTTTTTGTTTGTTTGTTTGTTTTCTTGGAAAGCACCACTACTCCTTCTAAGAACACAGGGATGAATTTCAGTTTTTTGTAAAAGTTCAAGATGATTTCAGTGTAGACTTGGTCTACCCTCCAGACATCTCCCCTCCCCTTTTCCCCTGAAAAGGTTTGAGCCACATTCTCAACCCCTCTGTGAGTCAAAGTCTACATTCTCCTTGGATTCATCCATTATGTATTGGTAGAAATTATGTGTAACCAAGGTTTCTGAGACCTTTGTGGCTTTCCTGCTGCAAAAATTCTTTAAAATCTATGGATAAAAAGAGAGACATCCCTGTCCCTTTTCTCCTCTTCCAATGGGTCCTCTTCACCTAGTAATGTGTAGGCTTTCCCCAAGCACATTTCCATGTTCTTCCAACATGGTCTGGAGGTCACACGTGACCTATGCCAACTCTCCTTGCTTGGTCATCTTAAAATCATCTCCACGCCCTGACCCATTCTGTCCAAAAGAGGACATATGCCTTGCCCTGATTTCCCGCAAACACACAGGACTGTACCTTTAATATAGCTGCTATCTATCTATAGCTGACTCACTTTGCTGTGCAGTAGAAACTAACGTACTATTGGAAAGAAACTATTGCTGTTGTTGTTCAGTCGCTAAAGTGAAGTGAAGTTGCTCAGTTGTGTCCGACTCTTTGCGACCCCATGGACTGTAGCCTACCAGGCTCCTCTGTCCATGGGATTTTCCAGGCAAGAGTACTGGAATAGGTTGCCATTTCCTTCTCCAGAGGATCTTCTTGACCCAGGAATTGAACCCAGGTCTCCCGAATTGTAGGCAGACGCTTTACCATCTGAGCCACCAGGGAACTTTGCAAAGGCTCAAGGATGCGAGAAGCTCCTGGCAAAGAAGCAGAGGACTCCAGCAGAGGTGGTCACTCTGAGTGGACAGATTCAGTTTCACTCTGCAGAATGTGGGAGGACTTGGTCTCTACGGTTTTCATCATCAGCGTTTCAGTCAAAATTCTTAGGCGTGAATTTAACATGCTATTGTATTACAACTTTCTACAGCAAATATTCATCCAAAGCACAACATATACCTCTCAAAGAAGATTAAATTCAGGTTTAAGATGAAAAAAAAAGAGCTAGCTGCAGTGGTAATTTTCAGTATAAATGCATTCAATTATTCTTATTCTTGCATCCCAGGTTAATGCCGTAGATGAGACAAAGAAAATCATTCTGCTATTTATTTCCCATCTCATTACTTTAATCATTTCATCAAAATAATCTGAACATGGGTATGTGAGTACTTGTTTTGCTATAAGAATGTGCGGTTTAAAAGTCCCTGAGACATATCCAAGAGTGGATTGAAGTGTGTTCAATGTCTATGGGGTCGCACAGAGTTGGCCACAACTGAAGCGACTTAGCAGCAGCAGCAGCACTGTAATTAGTCGCCGTACTTTGGCACTGGCTTTCTTTGGGAATGGAGTGAAAACCGACCTTTCCCAATCCTGTGGTGATTGCTGAGTTTCCGAGATTTGCTGGCACTTTGAGTGCAGCACGTTAACAGCATAATCTTTCAGGATTTTAAAGAGTTCCACTGGAATTCCATCACCTCCCCTAGCTTTACTGATTGCCAAGGACTTGGCTCCCTTCCCTGATGCTTAAGGAATGTGACTTTAAAAAAAGATGTGCATGATATATATACACATATATAATATTTATAAAATAATATTTACAATTTTCCATGCTGGGTTTACAAAAAGCAGAGGAACCAGATATCAAATTGCCAACATCCATTGGATCATAGAGAAAGCAAAGGAATTTAAGAAAAGCATCTAATTCTGCTTCATTGACCATGCTAAATCCTTTGACCCTGTGGATCACAACAAACTGTGACCTTTAAGAGATGGGAATATCAGACCTCCTCACCTGTCTCCTGAGAAATCTGTTTGTGGGTCAAAAAGCAGCAGTTAGAACCTTGCGTGGAACAACAGACTGGCTCAAAATTGGGAAACGAGTATGACAAGGCTCAGCCTGTTTACTTAACTTATATGCAAAGAACATCATGAGAAATGCTGGGCTGGATGAAGCACAGGCTGGAATCAAGATTGCCAGGAAAATATCAATGCAGATGGTGCCACCCTTATGCCAGAAATTGAAGAGGAACTAAAGAGCCATTTGATGAGGGTAAAAGAGGAGAGTGAAAAAGCTGGCTTAAAACTCAACATTCAAAAAACAAAGATCATGGCATCTGGTTCCATCACTTCATCACAAGTAGAAAGGGAAAAAGGAGAAACAGTGACAGATTTTCTTTTCTTGGGCTCCAAAATTACTGCAGATGATGACTGTAGCCATGAAATTAGAAATGCTTGCTCCATGGAAGGAAAGGTATGACAAATCTAGACAGTGTTTTAAACAGCAAAGATATTGCTTTGCCAACAAAGGTCTGTATAGTGAAAGCTATGAATTTTTCCAGTAGTCATGTATGGATGTGAGAGTTGAACTATAAAGAAGGCTGATTGCCAAAGAATTGATGCTTTTGAACTGTGGTGTTGGAGAAGACTCTTGAGAGGCCCTTGGTTTGCACAGAGATCAGTCAAACCTAAATGAAAACAGCCTGAATTGGAAGGACTGATGCTGAAGCTGAAGGTCTGATACTTTGGCCACCTGTTGTGAAGAACTGACTCATTAGAAAAGACCCTGATGCTGGGAAAGATTGAAGGCAGGAGGAGAAGGGGACAACAGAGGATGAGATGGTTGCATGGCATCACTAACTCAATGGACATGAGTTTCAGCAAGCTCCAGGAGATGGTGAAGGACAGGGAAGCCTGGCGTGCTGCAGTCCATGGGGTGGCAAAGAGTCAGACATGACTGAGCGACTGAACAACTACACACACACACACACACACATACACATATGTGCTTAGTCACTCAGTCACGTCCAACTCTTTGTGACCCCATGGACTGTAGCCCACCAGGTTCCTCTGTCCATGAGAATTCTCCAGGTAAGAATACTTGAGTGGGTGGCCATGCCCCTCTCCAATATGCACAAACACACATATATAAATATATATATATATGACATATGTATATTATTAATACTGCATAAGAGTCTTCCTCTCTGGTGTCTGGCTTTTTTTGTTGTTGTTTTTTAACCAATTTACTGATGCTGTGTAGTAAGTCATTTCCAGACTATAAAGAACGCATTCAGCCTGGTAAGTTCAGTTCAGTTGCTCAGTTGTCTCCAACTCTTTGTGATCCCATGGACTGCAGCAAGTCAGGCTTCCCTATCAATCACCAACCTCTGAAGTTTGCTCAAACTCATGTCCATTGAGTCGATGATGCCATCCAACCATCCTGTCCTCTGTCATCTCCTTCTCCTCCTGCCTTCAATCTTTCCCAGCAACAGGGTCTTTTCCAATGAGTCAGTTCTGCATGAGGTGGCCAAAGTACTGGAGTTTCAGCTTCAACATCAGGCCTTCCAATGAATATTTAGGATTGATTTCCTTTAGGATGGACTGGTTGGATCTCCTTGCTGTCCAAGGGACTCTCAAGAATCTTCTCCAACACCACAGTTCAAAAGCATCAATTCTTCAGCGCTCAGCTTTCTTTACAGTTCAACTCTCCTATCCATACATGACTACTGGAAAAACCATAGCTTTGACTAGATGGACCTAGTCGGCAAAGTAATGTCTCTGCTTTTTAATAAGCTGTCCATGTTGATCATAGCTTTTCTTCTAAGGAGCAAGCATCTCTTAATTTCATGGCTGCAGTCACCATATGCAGTGATTTTGGAGCCCCAAAAATAGTCTGTCACCATTTCTACTGTTTCCCCATCTATTTGCCATGAAATGATAGGACCAGATACCATGATCTTAGTTTTCTGAAATGTTAACTTTTAGGTCAATTTTTTCATTCTCCTCTTTCACTTTCATCAAGAGGCTCTTTAGTTCTTCTTCACTTTCTGCCATAAGGGTGGTGTCATCTGCATATCTGAGGTTATTGATTTTTCTCCTGGCAATCTTGATTCCAGTTTGTGCTTCATCCAGCACAGCATTTCTCATGATGTACTCTGCATATAAGTTCAATAACCAGGGTGACAATATACAGCCTTGATGTACTGCTTCCCCTATTTGGAACCAGTCTGTTGTTCCATGTTCAGTTCTAACTGTTGCTTCCTGACCTGCATACAGATTCTCAAGAGGAAGGTC